TTCCCTTAAATTTAACACTATTAAGTGACAAAGAACTATATTACAAAGTAGGCTCAAATGAAGTCGTGACATAGAATCGGCGTGATCATCTAGCTGCAACAAGCATGGTGCAAAAATGGTCTAGCAAGGATATCATAAGCAATCCGTCTCACATAGTCCAAATGGATTTTGAGCATAGTCGAAAAATACATACTTATCCGCTCCTTGAATCAGGGGCAAAGCTTCAATGTGCATATATACTTGCAGACGATGATGGCCTGTCGTCCACATCAGTCTAGCTAGCATCAACGAGTACGAGAAGTATTGGATGGACAATAGAGTTTCTACGACTTCTACGGTTTTGACAGTTTGACGGCTACACATTAAAGTTAAATAAAAATGTCGATTTATCGTTATAATATTAGAATGTTAATAAACGCATCATTTTTACAGATTTGAGTTTGATAGTAAAAATAACGAAGTATTTAATTAAAAAAAGTATCCGCAGCATAATGTATTTGAACAAGATTGTTATCATATAAGTAATTCATATTATATATATATTTATTTCTCAGGCAGTGCGTGACATTCAACCAACAGATGCTTTCAAGGAAGCATTATCAAAAAATGCGGATCAATTAAATGTGAAGTAAGTCACAACAATTTGGCTTTTTTTTTTAGAGTGAACGAGTTTTACTCAGTGAAAAAAAGTTTTTATAGAGAGTGAGCAACATTCTTTAAACGAAACGAACTACAACTTCTATTAGTTCAACATAATTGGAGCTGGCCAGAAGTCTCTCGAAATCGAACTTCACACAACTCAAAACACAAGTTCTACTTAAAAGTATATTGAGAGATTATAATAAAGTTATTTTTAAATTATATTAGTTCTGAGTTATGGTAATAAAATGATTAATTGATTGCATTATATTTATCCTGTAACAACAACATGATTATGAATCGATTGTCTCCGAATCGGAGGATTTCTCACGTCCGTGTGTACTTGACCATGACGGTTTTCAAATTAAATTATCTGACGATTCTGTAATAATTCGTATTGAAGAAAGAAAAGAATTTCGCGCACACTACTATTTTGTGTGCCCGCTCACGTTATTTGAAATTGCATTTTCTTCCAAGTGGTCTAAAAAACAAAATGACCAATATATATTTGAAAAGCGTAATGTCTCACCTCTTACTTTTGGCTCTAAATATAAATTTTATTCTTTTTATATAGTGGTAAAATTGAATCGAATCAACATGAAGACCCAGAGATTTTAAATTTGCTTGTTGCAGCTGATGA